TAGATTCATTCATTTGGAACATCAATTCTAACTTTCTTTCCTGTTTACTCTTGATGTTCAGGTATGTTTTCTGGATGCAGCAGAAGGATGGATTCTGGATTTTTTTTCAAATCCATTTTGTTAATCTTTGTCCTTTTACTGGCAAACTCCAAATGGAGGTTCTTTGGTGCCCATCATCTTTTTCTTTCTTTTTTGTTTTTTGGTAGATTGGTTCCTCCTTTTTTTTTTTTTTTGATTACAAACATAGTAACACCTGTGACTTCTGTCCTGTCTGATGGAAAGAAAGCTTACCCACCAAGACAAGTTTGACCATAGTTGCTATGGTGACAAAGATTAGAAGACTGGCCAGCGCAAGGGTTGCTCTGGTGGGAATGACCCCAATTGGATCTGATTAAAACCAGATACACTGAATTTGAGAGAAGAGAAAGTGGGTAATAGCCTTGAACTCTTTGGTAAAGGAAAAGCGTTTCTGAACAGAACACATTATTATAGGTACTAAGATCAACAATTAATAAATGAGAACTTATGAACCTGAGAATCTTCTGCAACATGAAGGACACCATCATTTGGGCAAAGTAATAGCCTACAGAATGGGAAAGATTTTTAACAGCCACATGTCTGATAGAGAGCTAATATGCAATTTTAAGAAGAATTCAAGAAAGTAGATAATAAGATAACAATCCAGTTAAAAACAGGGTATGGATATAAACATGGAATTCTCAATAAAAAAACTGAGAAACAAAAAATGTTCAACATCATTATCAATCAAGGAAATGCAAACCAAAACCACTTTGAGATTCATTCTTACATCTGTCAGAATGACTAAGATCAATAACACAAGTGACAGCTCATGCCGACAAAGATGTGGAGTTAGAAGAACACACTCCTTTATTACTGGTGGGAGTGTGAACATGTATAGTCACTATGGAAATCAGTATGACTTTCCTCAAAAGATGGGACCTGATCTACCTCAAGATTCAGCTGTATGACTCTTAGGTATATAATCAAAGGATGACTCGTCCACCACAAAGTGACTTTGTTCAACCATGTTCATCACTGCTCTATTTATAATAATGTGAAATAGGAAACAACATAGATGTCTCTCAACAGAGGAATGGATAAAGATAATCTGGTAAATTTAAACAGTGGAGTATTACTCAGCCATTAAAAATGACATCATGAAATTTGTAGGCAATTGATGTAGTTAGAAAAAATCATCCTAAGTGCAGTCTCCCTGACCCAGAAAACAAATATGGTATGTATTCATTTATATGTGAATATTAGTTCTTAAGTCTATGATAATAAAGCTATAATACCTAGAACCATAGAAGGTAGGTAGAGAGCAAGGGACTAGAGGAATCCTATAGATCTTGCTAGAAAAGAAAAATAGAATAAATGATTGTGGAATGTTGGTGGGTGCTGTAACAGGAGGAGAGGATTGAGGAAGAGAATATGGGGATAAACTGCTAAACTTGTAGGGTTTTTGAGAGGTAGTATGGAAACCTAATACAGTAGAAACTTCCTAAAACATATACATTTACGATGGCGATCTAAATGAAGTCACCAAATAGTGGAGGAGTCAGAGTTTCAATTGGTCATTTCTTGTCACCAAATGAAGTTTCTAGTGCTGGGAATGGGTTGTTGACCAAAGGAGTAGAGAGAGATAAATGCACAGAGATGTTGAAAAAGGTCAAATTCTGAAGTCTAGTTTTAGTTTCCACATAATTGCTAATATTTTATACTAATTTATCCCTCAATATCTTTCTTTAATTCTGATACTTATTCAAAACTGATTTACTTCTTGTGAGTTAGGAATTTTACTATTTTTTTCTTATCTGAGATGCCTCTAAGTTCCACTTAAAGTAGCATGCCCATATGCTTTCACTTGCTTTATTATATAGGACTTCCAGGCTTACAACCAAAAATATCAATTTTGGAACATCAAATATTTCTCATAGAGGGAACAGTAAGGCTATTATCTTTGGTTACAACTCTCTATTTTTATATACTTTTAAGATGAAAATCTATAGTCATGACACATGCCACAGGTTGGAGTTCCTGATGGTGGTTATATGCAAACACTTCTTTCTTCTTCAAATATGTGTCTCCCATTTTCTCCTAGAAAACTTCAAGCTTTTTCATGCCAAATAGGGAATGTGTATTAAGGAACAGGCTAATGTAATTGGCCTTTGGGACTGATGACTGTCTCAGGTATTAGGCCAAGATCATTCCCTCCTGTAATGTCATTGGTTATCCTACCTCATTTGCAGGGACATGAGCATGATCAAACTCTTTTATGTTCTGGAACAAAATATTGAAGTTCTTTCTAGGCTAAGAACAGGATATGTTTTGTTGGATTCACTATGAGGATTTTGTACATCTCAAGTTTGCTCTGTTGGATTGGTACCTCTTATTTTAGGAATGCTTCTCACCAGATGCCTAAGAAATTCCTAAGTGAGAAAGGACATGGTTTCAAGAAGTCATGGACAAGAATACAGAAATAATTATTTAAAAAGTGTCATGAGACAAAGGGCAATGACCAAATCAGACACTGAACACACGAAACTAAGACAAACCAAACAAAAACCAGAATGTCTTCAAAGTTCCAAGGGCCAATGACACTGAAAACAAACAGAACACTCAGACACCACACAAAGCACACAAAGCAGCTACTTTAAAACAATCACGTGGAAAGTATAGCAAGCTTCCCAATCAATAGTATTCTGGAAAATCACGGTTCAAAAATACAACAACGATCAAATCTAAGGAGGAACCCCCTCCCAGAAGGGACTCACAAACTTCTTAACAAGAAGATAAGATTACATAGCTGACAACAGGGGATCCTTTGTAATGGTATCTGGTGCCAGAGCAGTTGAGTCCTTTGGGGAAGAATGGGCCATTCTTTTTGGGTCTCACATTGGTCATCAGAAAGGAGACAGCTCTTTACTCTTAATCTTCCAAGGAAGAAAAGATAAATTATTCCAGCATCAAGTGTGAGTGACAGTGACCTGGGAAAAGACTTAAACTTATCAAAATAACAAGTCCCAGTGTGGTTCTAGTTCCACGAAAATTTTAAAGTAACATACCAAAGAAAGTCATAAATCAAGACATTTTTCAAGTGAATTGCTGAGTGCATTAAATAGATGAGCTGCAGAAAAATGGGGAAATCTTAACCTAAATAGGTTTCAGACACAGTCTGATGACATTCTTGACCCAATGAGTGGTAGAAGTTAAAGTATATGTTTTTACATCAAAGGATTTACCTAATAGTCATAAAATATAGGTCTCATATAGAGAAAGGCAGAAAATGTCTATTAAAGGGGTTAAAGGAGTTCCAAGGTAATTTGGCTCTGATTTGCAGCATCGTTATATCTTCACACCATTGAAGTTCTAATCTGTTAATCAGCTTTTATAATTCAATAATTTTTGTAAGAGTTTTTATTCATATAGACAAGCTCTTAGAAGACAAATTTTGCATTCAGAACTCCATCTTTTCCCTTCCCCTAGGCTGAAGTTCCTTGTGATATTCAAATACTTTGCAGATCATAGTTTTGATAGTCTGATGGCCAAAGGGAAGGCAGCATACATCTTGTTTAGAATATCTTCACTCTTGCCCAGAAAGAAACAAATAGTATTTAACTTTATTTTTTTAAAGCCATCTATAGTATTAGGTGGGGGAGGGAAGGATGGGGGGAGAGAGTACGAGGAGATATGACTGGAGTTGGGGGTCATTTGAGGGGTGATATGGAACCCTAGTAAGTAGAGAGTTTCTAAAATCTATGAGGTGATGAGGCTGGAGAGATGGCTCAGTGGTTAAGAGCAGTGCTTGCTCTTCCAAAGGTCCCGAGTTCAATTCCCGGCAACCACATGGTGGCTCACAACTATCTGTAATGAGGTCTGGTGCCCTCTTCTGGCCTGCAGACATACACACAGACAGACTATTGTATACTAAATAAATAAATATTAAAAAAATCTATGAGGAGACTATAGCAAGGACTCCTAGTAATAAAAGATATGGACCAGACATCTTCAAGGCAAAGCTTCAAGTGGTGGGATTGGAACATTAACCAGGCCTCACAATCTTCAACCTACAATCTGTCCTGCCTGCAAGATACCCTTGAGCAACGGTGGCTAAGAGTTTGTGTGAGTAGCCAACCAATAACTAGTTTAACTAGATACCCACACCAGTAGAAGGAATCCTTGTCTGACATTGCTTGGATGGTCAGGACATGGAAACTGGACAGCCCAGAGTCTTAGGAAAGAAAAAATACAACTGGCCAAAAAATAGTCAATGAAATGATTCTTTTTTTTTCTTTAATGAAATGATTCTTAATGACATTCATAGATTGGTGCCTAGCCCAGTAATCACCAGAGGGGCTTTCTCCAGCTAATAATTGGAGCAGATGTGTAGACCCACAGTCAAACATTAGGTGGAGTTTGGGGAAATCTGAGGGAAAATGGGAAGGAATATTGTAGGAGAAGAGAGGTCGAAGACACAGGGAGAACAAGAATTACAGAACCAACTAAGCAGGGCTCTTAGGGACTGAAGCATGATTGCTTTGCCCGCTCATAGGACCCTTTTCCTCCTGCTGGGTTGCTCTTTCCAGCCTTGATATGAGAGTTTGTGCCTAGTCTTATTGCATCTTGCTACTCCATATAAGGTTGCTATGCCTAGGAGGCCTGTTATTTTCTGACAGGAAAAGGAGGAGCAGTGAATCTGGGGGGCAAGTGGACTAGGAGGAGTGGAGGGAGGGGACACTGTGGTCAGAATGTATCACATGAGAATTGAATGAGTAAAAAGGAAAAAGAAAAAAACCTATCTATATGATACCTTAAAGAAGATACTGTGTTAAAATGAAATGGCAGACACAGAAAAGTGTTAGGAAATGGGTGGTTTGGTTTATATAGACCAAAGTGTACTAAAGAGAGAGGTCCCACCCCCTGTGCAAATACTGTGTATTTTTTGGAGCTGTATTTATAGACTCTTGGAGAGCAAACTTTCCAGTGCATTTGTTCAACGTGAGTCAATGGCTTTCTTTGTCATTTTGGGAATCTGCCTGTCTTGTTTGATCTTTTTTTCCTTATGGAATCAGCACCACAGCAAAGGGAAGCTCCCACCTGGACCCACTCCTCTTCCATTTGTTGGAAATATTTTGCAGGTGGATGTTAAAAATATCAACAAATCTCTGAGCATGGTAAGTGTGATTAGTCTCTTTTCAGTGGTTTTTAATGAGTGAATTATACATCCTCAGCACAAATAAAATGTGATCCTAGACTCCATGGAGATGTTACCAGGGTTAAAGAAGAAAACCCTGACACTTGGGGTCCCAACTTAATAGTCTTAGCCACTTGTCTTAACAGAAGTTAACTGCATAGCAAGGAAAGATATTTTACTATTACTGTGGCCACTCTGAAAGAGAGAAAACCAGAGGCTTTCTTTTTCTTGAGGATTTTTACATGTTAAAAAGCAAAGACAAGACCTGAGGAGTTTGCAAAACACAGTCTTATTTGTCAGTGTTGAAGAATTTTCTGGTTCTTGAGGGTAGAGGACAATGCTCATTTCACTTTGTGTTCAGGAAGTTGCTAAATTGGCCACGGGCAATCTCCTGGTTTTCCTGAAGGAGTACTCTAGTTCCCATAATATAACTGCCCCTTTGGGGGTATCTCCTTTATAGAGTGAGCTGCCTACAGAGCTCTGTTGTGTTTGGTGGTTTAGGATTATTATGGATGGCTTCAAAGGCACTATAGAGGCTCTAACAGAACCTGTGAGGGTCAAGAGACTTCAGTCACTCAAACACTGAAACAGAAGAATTAGCCACTTCATATAATCACTTGAGTGCTTACCGAGCCTACACTCAGAGTCCAACAGGAATTGAACCACAATTTAAGGTCATGGAGACAGGTATGAGCTGAAGGCAGAGATGTTAAGGTTTATCTTGGTTTTATTTACTCATCAGGTACCTGAAAGCCCAAGTGAATAGTGAATGTGTGTGTGTGATGTGTATACATGTATCTGTGTGTGCATATGTGAGTTTGAATGTGGGCAATATGTACCACAGTGATCATGTGGCAGTCAGAGGACAATCTTGAGTATCTGTCCTGCTTGCCACGTTATTTGAGACAGTGCCTTTGCCAATCACTGATGTGAATCTCAGGCTGGCTGGCTGTGAGCTTCTGGGGATTCTCCTGTCTGTCTCCCTTCTTGTGGGAGAGATTGGATTGCGTGTGTGCTTGACTGTGCCTGACTTTATGTGAGCACAGCAAGGCCTTTATATATGGACCCATCTCTCTAGGCAAAGAATAAAAAAAATTAATGGAAACTCAAGTCAACTCGTAAATCTGTGTTCTTCTGAGATCTAGAAGGAAATGGGATCCAGGAGTTGCTCTGTAATGCTATCAGGAGCAGAACAGTCAGTGTTCATGTGCTGTCCGAGGTCCTCTTCAGTACAGCAATTATTCTCTGATGAACTACAGTACAGATGGAACTGTGTTCAGTTACAAAAACCTATTGATTTATAAGTTCTCAAGTTTACATTTGCCTAGAAAATACATTGATTTGAAATTGAGCACATAACTAAAAATCCAGGAATTCTGAGAGTTCCTACCATATTTTCTGGATAATGAATCATTGACTTCTCTATCATTGATCCACATGGCAGCCATTCTCTGAAACCTGAAGGAATGACCAGAAGCTATCTTTTGCCTGAGACAGAGCTCCTTCTTCCTGGGATGCCCCACAGCTCCTTCTTCCTGGGCTGAGAGTTTTTAATTAACTCATAGCTTGGGGCAAGTGTTAAAATCCCCCTGGGGTTTAATTTCTTTTTTTAATATTTTTATTTTTCTAATATTTTTGAAAGTAATTTTATTAAATTATAAAAGTTTCCATTTCCGCCCCTCCTCCCACCACCCTCCCACTCCCCCCACGCCCTCTCCTTCTCCCTCTCCATCCCTAAGAGCAGTCAGGGTTTCCTGCCCTGTGGAAAGTTCAAGTTCCTCCCCCATCCCTCCAGGTCCAGGAAGGTGAGTGTCCAGACAGACTGGATCCACAAAATCCAGTATATGCAGAGGAAACAAGTCCCAGTGTCATTGTCAATGGCTTTTCAGAAAGACTCCGGGCCAGCCACATTCAGAGAATCTGGTTGGATCGCATCCTCGTTCAGTCCCAGTCCAACTGGCCTTGGTGAACTCTCATTAGATCCGTCCCCTTGTATCAGTGGGTGATCGCACTCCTCGCAGTCCTTATTTCCTTTTTCATTTTCTTCATCCTTCTGCTCCTCATTTGGACCTTGGGGGGCTCAGTCCAGTGCTCCAATGTTGGTCTCCGTCTGTATCGCCATCCATCATCGGATGAAGGTTTCCTCTGGTCTTGCCTTCTTTGCTCACGTTCTCTTTCCTCCTGCTTCTCCTTTGGACCAAGGGAGTTAAGTCCAGTGTTCCGATGTGGGTCTCTGTCTCTATCTCCATCCATCGCCAGATGAAGGTTCTATGGTGATAAGCAAAATATTCATCAGTATGGTTATGGGCCAAGGCCGGTTCAGTCACCCTCTCCTCTGTCCAGAGAACAATCTGGGGATCTCTCCTTGGACCTGGGATCCCATTTATAATCAAGTCTCCTGTAAACCCTAAAATGACTCCCTAAGTTGAAATATATTCTTCCCCGATCCCATATCCATCCTTCCTCCCTCCCCCCATCCCAGTCCACCTAGCTTTCCCCATTCCTCCCCTACTCCCTTCTCTCTAACCCTCTCCCCTTCCAACAACCCTCCCACCCCCCCACTCACCCGAGGTTACCTGGGACTCTTGTCTATTTCCAATCTCCAGGCAGATAGCTACATGATTTTCATCAGGTTCACCTTCTTATTTAGCTTCTCTAGGATCACGAATAATAGGCTCAAAGACCTTTAATTATGGTTAGAATCCACATATGAGTGAATACATACCATATTCCTCTTTTTGGGACTGGCTTACCTCACTCAGTAAAGGGTTTTCTATTTCCATCCATTTGCATGCAAAATTCAAGATGTCATTGTTTTTTACCACTGAATAAAACTCTAATGTGTATATGTTCCACACCTTCTTTAACCATTCTTCTATTGAGGGGCACCTAGGTTGTTTCCAGGTTCTGGCTATTACAAATAGTGCTGCTATGAACATAGTTGAACAAATGCTTTTGTAGTATGTTAGGGCATCTCTTGGGTATATTCCCAAGAATGGAACTGCTGGGTCCTGAGGGAGGTTGACTCCCAGTTTCCTGAGAAACTGCCACACTGATTTCCACAGTGGCTGCACAAGTTTGCATTCCCACCAACAATGGATGAGTGTTCCCCTCATTCCACATCCTCTCCAGCATAGGCTATCATTGGTGTTTTTGAGTTTGGCTATTCTGACAGGTGTAAGATGATATCTCAAAGTTGTTTTGATTTGTATTTCCCTGATCGCTAAGGAGGTTGAGCATGACCTTAAGTGCCTTTTGGCCATTCGAAGTTCATCTGTTGTGAATTCTCTGTTAAGTTCAGTACCCCATTTTTTAATTGGGTTAATTAGAGTTTTAGTGTCTAGTTTCTTGAGTTCTTTGTATATTTTGGAGATCAGACCTCTGTCTGATGAGGGTTTTGTAAAGATCTTCTCCCAGTCGGAAGGTAGCCTTTTTGTCTTACTGAAGGTGTTCTTTGCTTTACAGAAGCTTCTCAGTTTCAGTAGGTCCCATTTATTCATTGTTTCTCTTATTGTCTGCGCTACTGGGGTTCTGCTTAGGAAGTGGTCTCCTGTGCCTATATCTTGTAGACTACTTCCCACTTTCTCTTCTATCAGGTTCAAAGTGGTCCGATTAATGTTGATGTCTTTAATCCATTTGGACCTGAGTTTTGTGCATGGTGATAGATATGGATCTATTTTCATTCTTCTACAGGTTGACATCCAGTTATGCCAGCACCATTTGTTAAAGATGCTTTCCTTTTTCCATTGTATACCTTTAGCTCCCTTGTCAAATATCAGGTGTTCATACGTTTGTGGGTTAATACCCGGGTCTTCTATTCGATTCCATAGGTCGACTTCTCTGTTGTTATGCCAATACCAAGCTGTTTTCAATACTGTTGCTCTGTAATAGAGTTTGAAGTCAGGGATGGTAATGCCTCCAGAAGTTCCTTTATTGTATAAGATTGTTTTGGCTATCCTGGGTTTTTTGTTTTTCCATATAAACTTGATTATTGTTCTCTCAAGGTCTGTGAAGAAGTTTGATGGGATTTTGATGGGAATTGCATTGAATCTATAGATTGCTTTTGGTAGAATTGCCATTTTTACTATGTTGATTCTCCCAATCCAAGAGCAGGGGAGGTCTTTCCATTTTCTGGTATCCTCCTCAATTTCTTTCTTCAAGGACTTAAAGTTCTTGTCAAATAGGTCTTTCACTTCCTTGGTTAGAGTTACCCCAAGATATTTTATGCTATTTGTGGCTATCATGAAAGGTGATGTTTCTCTGATTTCCCTCTCTGCTTCTTTATCCTTTGTGTATAGGAGGGCAACCGATTTTTTGGAGTTGATCTTGTATCCTGCCACATTACTAAAG